TCGTCAGAATTTCGATGGGTTATTTACTAATAGTTTATTATAATTTCGACAGAATTTAGACAGTCACTAAGGGATTTTGACAAGCAACCTTAATTATAGCAAAAATAGTCATATGATATTAGCAAAATAAGTAATTAAATCTTAGTAAAAATAACAATAGTATTATAGCAAAATTAGCTTTCATAGAACTATTAAATATTATAAAAGCAATATAACTTAGTTAATGATATAAAAAAAAGAAGTTTCATTACTTTAACTAAAGTTTGATTACTTAAACTGAAATCTTATCACTTAAATAAATCTCTTGTTAGATAACTTATTAAAATTATATTTGATATTGATTTTGGTCTTGAAAGATAGATTATTATTAAATAACCAATTATTATATTTGACTTAAAAGATAGTCACTTGAAAGACTTATTATTTTGAATTATTACCTTTTAAATTATAAAGAAACTTAATAAAAGTTATTCTAGCTCATCACAACAAGAACATATATTACTTATCTTTAATAATAATTTTTAGTCTTTCTCATCATAAAACTTAGTTTCTTTCATCTTTTAATTAGTATAAATATATGAATAACACATTAAGAACTTAAAGTTTATAAAAATAATAACAATATAAAATATTTAATTTGAAATAACATTAAGAATTGGAATATTTTTTAAATAAAAAACTAGATCTTTAAATATTTAATAACTATATAGTGTCACAAGTCCTAAACTCAGATAGATAATCTCATAATATGTGTATTCAATCAATATCTATTTTAGTAAGTTAATAATTTTGATCCAATTGCTTTAGGATTGTAATACTGTATGACTTTTTCTATTTTATTAATTTAGAATAGGTAATACTACTACTAATAAATATCTTTCTTTGTATTTACTTAATATGATAACAGTTCTATAACAATATAGTACTAATATTCTATAGCAACCTGATTGAATGTTCAGTAATATATAAGTAAGTATTATAAAAGATTAATAATTATAAAATCAATTAATATATAATTTCATTAAACAATAAACAAGAAGCAGTTTATTGACTAGCTAGATTTTGTATTGATCAATTGATAACTTTTGATTTATTCAAAAGATCCTTTATTTATATAAAATAATTTATGATTAAGTTATTATAATATGGGATATATTATACATGTTAGATAAATATTATATAACAGATAATGTTGATATGTCTGAGAACTCTGCTATCTCTGTTATCTCTATAATCTATATTTAGTTATATAATTAGAATTAAGAAATTAAGGATAATTTCAGGATATAATAACAGTTAGTTATATATTATAAGTTCTTATAAATTATCAATATATAAATACTTTAGTGAAGATACTATATTTGCAAAGTAATTATTATAATATATATATTTATTTAACTTATTTATTTATTTATTTGAAATAAAAATAAAAAAAATAAAATATATAAATATAATTAACTTAAATTTTTTAAAAAAAATTAATCAATTTGTCATACAAGTTTATAAAGTTATTTTTTTAGTGTATATATAAAGTTTTGAATTCAATAAATATAATATTATAAACTTCAGATTTATTAGATCTAAAGATAACTTTTGCTAAATCATCACATTATCAATATAATTTTATTATTCAAAAAGAAATAATTCAAATATAAATGTATTTTTATAAGTATATTATCAAAAATTATCTGAATTTGATCTTTTTGTTGAAATTCATAAAGATAAAACTATAAATATAAATATTATACTAATCAACTCCAGTAGATTTAGATAATATTTGATTTAAATATTATATAATATTATTATTATTTAGTTAAATTTTGTATGTTAATAATAAAGACAATCAAGTAATAAATATTTAATTAAAGATACAATCAAATCTTTCTATAGTCATTACTTTTGGAAAAGCAAAATTTGGTAACTATAGAGAGGATGTGACTATAGAGAGATTTTTTTTACTATGTTTATATATAAATGGGAAAGCAAAATAGGGTGACTATAAAGGGGGTGTGACTATAAACAGATGTGACTATAGAGAAGTTTGACTATATTTTATTTATTATGTGTTGGATCTAATTAATTACAACTTGCTTTTTTTTATAATATAAAAGTATCTCTTATATACATAATAATTTTAGTCTATATATTATAATATATTATTAAATATTACAATATATTACTAAACATTATAATATTACTGAATATTACAAAATATTACTAAATATTATAACATGTTATTAAATATTATAACATGAAAAAAGCCACATAATTTTAATTTCATCCAATAAAAATAAATAATTAAATAATTAATTAATTTAAATAAATTTAAATTATTAAAAATATTATATATAATAAAATAATTATGTTATAAAATATTAGGATTATAACATTTGCCTTTCCTTCAAGAATTGAGTTCTAGCAAAATTTATAAGAAATAAAAAATAATATTAAATAAATAATTAAATCTTATAAAAACAAAAGTGCACAATCAAATAAAGCTTAAAATACTTGATTCACATATTATAATAGTTATAAATGAACCAGAATTAAGAGAATTTGATTTTGAAAAACAATATGATATTTGGCAAATCTTCCAAAACAGATTTAAAATTAGCTTTTCTTTTTTACTATAATAAAATTTATTTTATAAAATGTGCAACTATATATTTATTTATTTTTGCAAATATATAATATATATTAGTTGCAGGTGTGCAATTAAAATTTAAAATTCGCAAATCCTGTCACGTTGACAATAAAAAGAGTTAACTATGTTTTGAAATTGTATGTAATTATTGAAATTTCAGAAAAATTCTGGTATTAAATTTTCAAACATTCTAATTTTAAACTTTAAAAGATATCTATTTTTTGTAATATATTTAACATTCTGCATTATAAACAAAAATCAGATTTATATAAGTGATATAACATGTTTATTAAAATTAATGTCAATTTTCAAGAGAACTCTGGTATGCCATAATTTTAAAATATATAAACTATTGCTGGACATAAATTTGAACTTTACAATTAATATAATTAAATATTAAATTTTAACATTTGGCATGCCAATTCCTTCGGGGTCCTGATCCAAGTATTGCTTAGCGAAAATAATACATTAAAATGCTTAAATTGCCTATAGCGTCCATTAAAAAAACCAATTATTAAGCTGAACTTTATTATATATTTTTCGTTAAAGCGGATTTACTGTGTAGTAAATTCATAATTCCAATTCTGCAAATTCGAATAATTTTCTGATATGCAAATGATCAATCAGAACTGAATACTTTTCAGTTGTTCCAATGTATTTTAAACAAATATTATCGTGTGCGGGCTCCAAGGTAAATAAATTATCTTGAGCTGTTTGTTTCAAATTCTATGGTGCATAAAATCTAAATTCATCAAACGTTTGTATTTTATAAAATGTATAAACTTCTTTACTAAGTAAATACAAAATTTAATCCGTGAATAGGATAGAATAGGCATATTCACAGATTAAATTTTGTATTTACTTTATATTTTATGCACCATACGTTTAATTTTTTTATTATCAAATAAAAAGATAACTACAATTAAGCTAAGCATATATGTTTAGACTGCATTATCTAAATGGGCACACACACTTAGTGGGTATCCACAAGTAATTTCTGCGAGTAATTTCAGGAGCAAGGTGTCAATTTCAAATTTAGAAAGAGATAAATACATCGATTATCAACGGATCGAAGATAATATAGCTATTGTGAAAAAGAGGTGGATATCATAATTTTTTATTCATCCAATATTACTATTTCCTTTAGCAAAACGTGTCATCATACGATGCTGATTAGCAGTGAGCTATTAATACACTCCAAACTTTGATTTTAACCCTGGATACTGCAAAGGGGTACATACCATTGAATGCAGTAGCTAATAAATGTTAACGGTCTTATTTATATTATGTAATGACAGAAAAATATTCTAAATAATTATAGTACTTAAAAATATCTTGTTCTAGATTAGGACATCCATTGACATTATCTGAAAAAATAGTCTACGGACATTTGGACGATCCCGTGAATCAAGAAATAATTCGTGGTAAATCATATCTGAACCTTCGACCTGATCGTGTTGCATGTCAAGATGCAACCGCTCAAATGGTACTGCTGCAGTTTATATCAGCTGGTATACCAAAAGTCGCTGTGCCTATGTCTGTTCATTGTGATCACTTGATTGAAGCACAAGTTGGGGGTGATAAAGATTTAGCACGTGACAAAGATGTCAATAAGGAAGTATATGACTTTATGGCAACTGGTTCGGCGAAATACGATATTGGGTTTTGGCGTCCTGGTTCAGGGATCATTCATCAGATTATTTTGGAAAATTATGCTTTTCCTGGTGGTCTTATGATTGGTACCGATTCTCATACCGTGAATGCTGGTGGTCTGGGGATGGTAGCGGTTGGTGTTGGCGGTGCTGATGCTGTAGATGTTATGGCAGATATTCCATGGGAATTGAAATGTCCTAATATCTTTGGTGTTAAATTGATCGGAAAATTGAACGGCTGGACTACACCAAAAGGTAACTAAAAATATCTTTAATATTATTTCGCCACAATAGAAAAACGAGATTTAAATTTATATAATCCTCCGATATTTTTAATTTCCGCCTTTATATAGATGTAATACTCAAATTAACCGGAATTTTAACAGTAAAAGGTGGCACTGGATCTATTATTGAATATTTTGGACCTGGTGTAGAATCTTTATCTTGTACTGGTATGGCTACAATTTGTAATATGGGTGCAGAAATGGGTGCTACAACTTCGATATTTCCTTTCAATAATCGTATGGGTGATTTTCTTCGGGCGACAAGACGAGGCGAAATCGCTGCATATGCTGAGAGTTTTGCTCATAATCTGCGTGCTGACGAAGGAGCTCATTATGACCAAATCATCGAGATTAATTTATCAGAATTAGAACCACATATTAACGGTCCCTTTACACCCGATCTCGCAACTCCTCTAAGCAAATTTAAAGATGCAGTCGAGGCGAATAATTGGCCACCAGAAATTAAGGTGGGTTTGATTGGTTCATGTACAAATTCATCGTATGAAGATATGAGTCGTTCTGCTTCAATCGCCAAAGAAGCTCTTGATCATGGATTGAAAGCGAAATCTCTATTCACAATTACACCTGGATCTGAACAAATTCGCGCTACAATTGCACGTGATGGTCATGAGGAAATTCTAAAGAGTGTAGGGGGTCTTGTTTTAGCCAACGCATGCGGTCCCTGTATCGGACAATGGGATCGCCAAGATGTGCAAAAAGGAGAAAAAAATACTATCATATCATCATATAATCGTAATTTCACTGGTCGTAACGATGCAAATCCCGCAACACATGCTTTTGTCGCATCACCTGATCTTGTAACAGCGATGGTTTTCGCTGGTGACCTTCGATTTAATCCAGTCACTGATGTTCTTATGGACGCTGACGGAAAACCTTTTCGATTTACTGAACCTAGTGGAGCAGAATTACCACCACGTGGCTATGATCCTGGAGAGGACACCTATCAAGCACCACCAGAAGATCGCTCAAGTGTAAAGGTGGTCATTAGCCCTGATAGTAGTCGTCTTCAATTTCTAGAGCCATTTTCAAAATGGGATGGAAAAGATGCTGAAAAATTGCCAATTTTAATAAAAGTCAAAGGAAAATGTACTACAGATCACATTTCCATGGCTGGTCCCTGGCTCAAATTCCGCGGTCATTTAGATAATTTATCAAATAATATGTTAATTGGAGCTGTTAATGCCGAGAATAACGCTGTTAATAAAGTCAAGAACATTTTCACTAATGAATACGATGCTGTACCGTCTGTTGCTCGGCATTACAAAGCAAATGGTGAGAAATAAGATTTATCTGATCGAAAATGCATCCATTGATTCACATCTGTATAATTTTTTATAGGAATTCGTTGGGTGGTTATAGGTGATGAGAATTATGGTGAAGGATCCGCTCGTGAACAGGCAGCAGTCGAAATACGCTATTTGGGAGGCATTGCGGTCATAGTAAAATCATTTGCACGTATCCACGAGACGAATCTCAAAAAGCAAGGTCTTTTACCACTTACTTTTGCAAATCCGTCCGATTATGATAAAGTAGATCCATCAGATAAAGTTTCCATATTTGGTTTAACCTCTTTCACCCCTGGAAAACAATTGACTTTGAGACTTCACAAAGAATCCGGTGAAATAGTGGATATTCTCGTTAATCATTCTTTTAATCAAAATCAAATTGAATATTTTAAGGCAGGTTCAGCTTTGAATCGAATCGCTGAAAACGTCAAATCATCATGATTGTTGTTCTATAATGATTTTTCTAAAAGTAAATAAGAAATACTAAATAAATGCGTGACACGATAAAATCATTTACACGTGACTAAATAAATTCAACCTCTGGTTCAAGTTTTAAGCCATATCTGATATCGCGATGAACAAAACAAGATTGATGATTCAAAAACTAAAGCCAAAAACTCTTACTAATATTAGTATTAATAATAACAATAATTCTTGTTTTCGATTTTCTTCCCATAATAATATTAGTGGTTCCATCATAAATGATATTAATTTTCAAATGCAGAATACGAAAATTGACGATGATCATAGTGGGAATAATGATTATATCAAAAAAGAAGATATCTGTAATAAGTTATCAATATTTGAAAACAATCAAAAAATGAGCTGTCGTCTGAGTAAATCATTAGGCGTTGCTCCGATGCTTGATGTAACCACGCAGGTGATAATTAATGTATTGACTGCGAATTTAATATAAATTCCATATATACGTATAATTAACTTTACTTATTGTGAATCAAACGATCAATTCTCATACTTAGCATTTTTTGCAACTTTGTCGGATAATATCTCCAAATTTTCTTTTATACACCGAAATGATCCATTGTAATGCAATAATTCATCATGCCAATGATCTAAGCCAACTACTCGGCCCTCCATTTCCAGACACAGTCATACAATTAGGTGGATCCGATCCGGAGGCTATGAGTCAAGCTGCGGTAATATTAGCAAGGAATGGTTGGCGAGATATTAATATCAATATCGGATGTCCGAGTAGCAAAGTTCAGGTAAGAAAATTGAATGGATGAAGAGTTACGTATAAGATTATAACGTTCTTTATTTGATTTATGATATAAATAGCATAATAACTTTGGTGCGATATTGATGAAATCACCGGATTTAGTCGCGCGTATAGTTACTGCGATGGCAGAAGTAAATCAACACGATGACATTTCACCAATCACAATTAGCGTGAAATGTCGTGTGGGCGTTGATGATATAGATTCATACGAACAGCTATATCATTTTGTAATTATAATTATTTCTTCTTTCGTTTATCATTGATTTCTTAAATGGGAAGGCGATTTTTTGATCTCATCGACCATGTTTTTTTGTTTTACATTCAATTAAATTTCTGTTAAAGATTTCAACAGTCTCAAAAACAAATTTCGTGAATCACTTTATCATACATGCGCGAAAATGTTGGCTTAAAGGACTTTCACCCGCACAAAACCGAACAATTCCAAAACTTGACTATGAACGCGTATATCGCCTTGCCAACGATTTTCCGAATCTATTGTTTACCATTAATGGAGGAATCGATAACATTGATAAAGTAGTAGAACAACTTGAGAAAGTGGATGGCGTTATGATTGGTCGAAAAGGTACTATTAAGGCAATAAAAGTTTTTATTATATTCATTGACGGACGGACTGACTGACTGACTGACTGACTTATTGATAGTGATGAATCATCCAATGTTTCTCGCAGAATTAAATAATTGTAAAGATAAAATCATTTATTTTTTCTTCGCGTCTGTATTTAATTAATATTAATTTTTTCTTTTAAGATTTTTATGGAATTCCTCCTAAGCCAGACCTCGAAATTATAAATGAATATATTGGTAAGTATTCCACTTTTTTGGATTATTCTCTTTTTTTCAATTCTTTAATCGCATAAATTCCGATTCAAAATAGACTATTTATCAGCACACCTAGCATCTTTAACTGCATCTAAGTTATCGACTCTGTCGCTTAGTATCTTGTTAAAGCCAATATTTATGATTTTTTCCGGTTCCAAAGGAAAATGTTTTCGTCGTCATCTGCAACTTAATATCATAAAATATAGAAAATCAAATTCTTTCGAGTCTAATTTTGACAATGATAATATAAATAATTACACGCTGAAACTTGTTGACGATATACGATCGTTTGTCAAACAAAGTATATCAGATGCTGAACTAGAACACGAGAATAAAAAGAACCAAAGCCAATAGGAGGAAAGAGGAATGAATAATCGAATTTGATTTAATAAACTATAATTTAATTAGAATAAAGTCACGGAATAAAGCCCAAAAAACCAATTAACCACGTCTTAAAAATGCTCGTTTAGGTCTATCGTTAAAATCCGATCTACTAAATTGTGAGACATCACGATAACTTGAATTGCTACCACTATCCCTTCGTTCCCGGAAATTTGAACTAATCTTTGAAGATCGATAGCTGTCTCTTTCTTCGGATTTAGCTCTAAACTGTTTTTTCGTGGCAAAACCTGACTGAGAATCGAAATTACGATAATTTAATCTGCCTCTTTCTTCAGAGTTGGATCTGGAAAGTCCTTCACGACCACGGAATTTTGGTCTATGCAGGTCCCGTTTTTCTGAATTAATTTTGAAATCGTTATATCTTGCTGTAAATTTTGACTTTCCTCTTGACTTCTCATCATCAATTCTAAAATCGTCATATCTCGAAGAAGAGTTTGATTTTCTTTTCGGCTCTTCATCATATTTTACAGAAACTTTCGAGTTTCGTTTCGGTTTTTCGTCGCCACTCACAAAATCAACATATCCCATAGGCGCTTCTGATTTTCTTTTCGGCTTTTTGTCATTGTTCTCGAAATCATCATATGCTGACGCAAATTTTGATTCTCTTTTAGGTTTTTCATCATAGCTCAAGAAATTATCATATCCCGATGATTTTCGTTTCGGCTTTTCGTCTTCGCTTACATGTCCATCATATTCTACAGAAACCTTTGATTTGCGTTTCGATTTTTCGTCATCGTTCATGAAATCATCATATCCCGACGAAAATTTAGGTTTGCGTTTTGGCTTTTCGTCATCGCTCCACCAGCTTCTCTTCGTATTATTTTTCTTTATTGTATTAGGTTCTGATATTTCTATCCTGTTATCGCGGATTTTCTTCGTAAATTTTCCTTCTTCAAGTTCTTCCTTTTCACTTTGTTTTTTCAGTAGATTTTCCAATTTTCTTTCGTAAAAATTTTTAAAGAATGTCCATGGATCTAATTTTTGATTCAACAATTCGTCATCAGCTCTTTCCAAAGCCAATGAATAGGCTTTGATAATTGCCTGTAGAAAGTTTATATTTTCAATCTTGACTGGAAGCTTAGAATTTTTCTTCATGGATGTATTCAATCCAAGACCTTCGATTCTTTCTAGTAACCAACATATTTGATTTATTCCAGAAAATTTTTTTCTATTGGCCAATTCAAGCATTAAATTTAATACATGTGCATCAGGTAATAATTTCATCCGTAACATATCTTCAAATATTTTTGTGGCTGATCCCCAGTCGTTTACAATCCTACAAGCAGTCAATAGTAAATCGTAAGTCTGCAAAACTGGCGTGATTTTTTGTGCACGAATGGTCTCAAAAACGCTTATGGCATTTTTAAGATTTCTTGCTTCAATATATAATGAGATTAAGGTATTCATATTGTAAATATCCAACTCTATTCTTGGATATTTAGCCAGCACCTGATCAAAGAGATATATTCCTTTTGACCAATCTCGTCCTTTAAAGCATAATCCCAGGGCAATATCCAGTGACTTTGAAGTCATCTCTACATCATATCGCGAAGGTTTTGATACATATAGAGAAGAGCCAGATAATCTTATTCCGTATATTTCCTCTATAATCTCGTATCCTTTTTCTGTTTCCCCAGCATTTTTACAACATAACAACATGGAAGCAACTAATTGATCATCCATCTCCAATATTCCAAATCTTCCCTCATACTCCACTTTGCCTGCAGTATACCCATCTTTTTGTCTCTGTCTTTGTAGGATCCCCATTAGTTCCTCCCAAAGAGCTGATGCAAACTCAAACCCTTCGGCACCATTTCTAGCACAAGAGCCAAAAACTATGGTAAAAGTATCTGTGTTTGGATATAATTCGCCTGAGTCGAATAAACGATCGTAATTTTCACGTAAAGATTTAAAATCCTGTGAGCGACTGCACACTTTAAGTAACGCGTTTCCGTGGATAACATTCGGACGAATTGCAGTTTCACGTGCACTTGTTCTCATGTTATCGATAACATTAATAGCATATGCTATGTTGTTAGCAAAAGTGCGTTTTTCTGCAATACCATTTAAAAGGATAGTGTATGTTTGCTCATTAGGTGGAAACCCTCTACGTTTCATCTTAATATAGATCGATATAGTAAAACTAATAGTAAGTTATTATTTTGATTCTTTTATCCGCAATTATCGATTACTTTAATTGAAATTGATTATATACCTCGGTGAATAAACGAAAACCCATTTTAACCTTTCCGATTTTTACGCATTCTGCTATTAAATGATTCCATACTACTTCTGATACCGCGCGTTTTGGCGCATCTATTACAAAACTTATTGCCTCTTCCAGTTTCCCATCTGCCGCGAGTCGTTGAACTTTGGCCGACATGAAGTGTGCATCTTTAGGAATGCGAATTTTTCCGGGCAGTTTTTTATCTGGAAGTTTTATGCGAAATGTGGGTGAGGTGGTTGAAAAATTCGAGTTTTGCGAAAAACGTAATAGATTAAGATAAGGTGACGCTTTTTTCGTGTTATTCTTTGAGGTATATAAAAGCGATAACGATTTCTGTGAATGTATTTTTGCAGTTTTTGAGCTAAGCGACTTTAAAGAGTTGAGAATCATGATAATGAATATTTTGTAGATCAAAGTAGGGTAAAAATTTTTGAAATTTCACGTGCAAGTGTCATAAAGAGTCACGACTGAGTCGATTTTTCGCATTTATTAAATCTGAGATCAAATGTTGCAAAATATCGATAAGCGATTTGATTGGATGCCGATTTTTCGACTAATGACTTATCGTTATATGTAGTCTATGAATAGTCTATGAACCTTTTACACAAAATTGATTAACATGAACAATTTAGAAGATAAAGAATTCGAAGATATTGATTACTATGATTTTCTTGGAGTCAATTACAACAGTACCCTTGAAGATATCGAAAAGGCTTATCGTAAGAAAGCACGAAAACACCATCCCGACAAGAACCGAGAAAATCCCGAAGCAGGTTGTTATTACTGTCACTTATTTGTTGTGTGAGTTTTTTCTTTAAGAGCTATAGTTACTTAAAAAATGGTTTGATATTATGATAGCAACAAAGATATTTCACCAGGTTTCCAAGGTGTTTGAGTTACTTTCTGACCCAATTAAAAAGTTAGAATATGATAATGCACGAAAAGCGCGTGTTGCTGCTAAGAAACGATACGAAGCATTAGATGCCAAACGCAAAGTTATGAAAGAAGGTACGTTAACTATTTCGAGAAACAGGCATTAACGCTGTGTATTTATTTTTAACATTTTGTTAATACAAATAATAATAATAATAAAGATTTGGAGGAAAATGAGAGAGTAGCAAGACAAAAGAAACAACAAAGAACGTATTCTGAAGAATCAGAACAAGTCAAGGTAATTAAAGAAACTGTTGAATCGGGATTGGGACTCTTAATTGTTCATTTTTTTTATAACCAAATATTGTATTCTTTTTCAGGTGGAACGATTACGAGCAGAAACAGCACAGCGTCGGCAACAACTTGCAGAGAAGTTACACAGGCGCGCTGCTGAATTCAAAGCTTCCAAATAATATCACTATCATCCAGTTTGTCTCGGTTAGGATTAACTCCCGACTTTTGCCATTTCTTCACCTATCACCACCAGCCCTATCACTTTTAAACCAAAATCACCCGAACAAATAAAAGGAGATATTGAAAAATTATTGACGGAAACGAAAAACACTTGAAATACTTATTTAGACGTTGACCTATAGAAGAAAGCGCTTTTTAAAGGTAATATATCTTGTATTGTTAATAACTATGGGTCGTTCACACACCCATTTTAGATTAGGATTTTGATCAAATAAAAATGTATTCATTTTACAATCTATTTACGTTAGATTGAAATGAATAAAGAACTTCTTTCATTAATGGCCACCTCGAATTCCTAAATGAAATTAGCTCATTCTCAAGTAGCCCGATTAGTCCAACTGATGATGACTTACAACGTGTAAGAAAGGTGAAAAGTAGATATTTGTTTTTCAATCTTTGTATGAATATAGAAGACCATGAATTCAAGAGCATTTGGGTGGCTCTTATAAGAAATAGCACCTGTGTTGTTACTTAATGGAAAAAAATGTGTGGCTGATCTATTACTCAAAAATTAGTAGCAACTCTCTCTGGTGGCTTGCAGTTGCGACAATATTCTGCTATTGGCAAATCCTGATTATTCAAGCAATAATTGATTGTTTTTTAAATGGAAAATTAGTTTGTTTTTTATTTTTTCAATTATAATGAATTTTTATCAAAAACACGTCTAACTTTTTTTATACTAAATAGTTTTCCAAATGAAACTTGTGATTGGCAAAGGATTATTGATTTCGCTTGATAAAGGGTTTTCTTGCGTTGTTGGTGTCATTGATGAAAATCGCATTCCACAATTAAATCATCCTCAAAGGACAATATTAATTATTATAACCGTAAAAGGCATTATAGCGTAGTTCTACAAGCAGTAGCAAGGAAAATTATTTATTATTGATGGGCTGGAGCAACCCATGATTCCCGAATTTTACAAAATTTCCTCTTGTACGATCTTCGAGATCATATATTTTTAGGCAATAGTGGTTATGTTTGATCCACCCGAATTTTTATTGTTAGAATTTCATCGGTCACCATATGTTAAACTCAACCATTAGACACAAATGATCAGAATTGAATTTAAGATTTGGTAATGCTGGGAAAAATTCTTTTTCTTCAGGCATTTTCAAGATTTTGGTCACTTTAATATTTTTGAATAAATTCTCATCATCATTCATCATAAATATATAATCCAACGTTCCTTTGAACCAATGACCATAACAGGTAAATTTTGGCTCGCCAAAAATCATAGTCTCTGAATTTTCTTGTTCTACCTGTTTATAATATTTCGCATAAAGCGATACAGATTTTGGAATTTTTGAGAATTGTGATAATAATTCAGAAATGTGAGCATTTGGAAGTGGTATAATTTCTTCGTTAGAATTAGTGGTAGATTCTGACTTGGGAGACGACGAAGATGCTGCACTTTTTTCGTGAACTCCATCATCATCATCATCATATTCTTTGGATTCATTGAATGTTCTCGTTGAATTTTCCAATAGAGAGATTTCTTCTGGTGTCAATGCGCAATTTGGCTGTCCTAATAGCTTATATGTTGGATCCGTTGGCGAAGTATTTAGATCTAAGAAAAATTTACAATTAATTGATGTAAATTCACTATTCCCCATTAGTAATGATTAAGGGTTAACTTACCACCAGCAAAAAATATATTAAATCCAAACTCTTTATTCATATCAACTAAATTCTCAGTTAAGATCAAGATTTGTCTTCCACGTTCATACATACATTGCGGTCGCCAGTATAAATGCGTGGTTCCAACTATAATCCCATCATTCTTTTTAACATTATTTGTCTCTATCGTGTTCTCTTCTTCGTTTTCTTTGAAGGCCAATGCAACTGCTATTCCAACACACAACGTTTTTGTACTTGGACAACCAATCAGATCATATTCAATATTACGTTCTTTTAATTTCGTAAATTTTGATTTCTTCCACATTATACAACATCCTTTAAAGAAATAAAATAATCGTTATTCAAGATGACGACAAAAGTTATGTTATGAAAATATGAATAATATTTCACCATGTTTTTTCTTTGCGGATCCTTGAAAATATAGCATCTCGTAACCAGATCTTTCAAATTCAGGTATAAAAGTATCCACAAGATTTGTAGAATCCATTTCTTGAAAACAAGCAACATCCGGAAAATAATGTAATATCTCTTTAATTAATCCAGGACGACGATTTTTCCATCTGATGGCATCACCACAATTTGGAAACATCTCACGACGACAAAGAGATTGTGCTAATAACTTTTAAAAATCAAAAAAATATTATTTATTTTTTCATACAACATTATCTCAAAGGAGAGAAAATCAAATTACATTATAAGTCATCAAAGTAAATTTTCGTCTATTATGATGATCGATTTCATTATTTAATGAAATCTCGGCCATTGGCCTCAAAATCGACTCAACTGATTGATTCTCTTCTTTTTGTATTTGTTTTTTCAATTTTCGCGCTTCTTGTTTTTCTTTCATTATTCGTTCAAATTCTTCAGGATTTTTTGATTTAACTTTCTGTTCTAATAGCTTTCTTTCTTTTTTTGTTAGACTTTTTTTGGTTCTTTCGCCTTGCTTATTAAAATTTGTTTCAACGGCACTAGAATTGTTGGGGTAAACTTGGTTGGTAACGCGTTGAAAAGGGGTTGTTGAAAAAGAATTGTCCATGTTTTTTTCGTAGAATGTAAAGGCTAAATAAAATAGCAATTCAAACAAAGGGGTAATTCGACTTTATGAATTTCTAATTCTTCTGCGGAAAATATTACGCGAAATCAAGAAATTTTACGGTTTTGAGAAAATCAGGTATATCTTTATCCGTATTTCATCACTGCCAATAAAAATTATCTCGATTTTGTGTGATACAAAAATACTCGATAACGGCGCAGTGAACTTTCGGTGGAACTCAAAACAGCCTATATCGATATATAATAAATCTTCTCAATACGGTGAATTTGTGAAAAATAGCCCGGACACACAAAAAATAAATAGAAATTAAATGGATGGTAAATAATCATGCTAAAAAGTCAGTGTTCTTTGGCGATTGCGATTTAATCTTGCAGATCACGCGTGCTTATCAGACGCTGATCTTCAAAATTTTCTGAGCATAACGATAAAACAATGTTCCAAAATATCTCCACGTTAACGATACCTCGGCTTCGCTTTAGTTTTTCACATAGAAATATTCTTAGAATTCATTTACAAAAGTATCATGGTCACAAATATCCATCATTAGAGACTGATGATAATATTAATTTATCATTTATGATTTACCATCAAAGACGAAAATACGCGACTAATACGGGGCAAGTAACGAAATCATTTTTATGTTTACTTTTTATTTTCATTCTCAATATTGATAATAGTTTATTAAAAGTTTAAACAGAATTCAATCAGCAAACCATTATAATAATCGATTATTAACACGTATAAAGCTATCACAACATTTTAGTGATAGTAGTAATGCTAGTAATAATAATAATAATACTGTAATTAATGATTCTTCCAAGGAGAATTTCAATGAAGTACTAAAGATCAATAATCTTAGTAATGAGAGTAATAAGAACATAGCTGAACAATCAAATAAATTGGTCTCCACCTCCACTTTCAATACCAATAGCAATAACAATAACACAACAACTACTAATGTTAAACAATATCCAAAAATAGTAATAAAAATCTTGACTCCAATTGCAAAATGGTTTGGCTATGCTACAACAGGTGTTGCATATCGATTGATCGGTGAATTGTATCCATCATGCGCGAATCAGACTGAGAAATACAAAGAATTTTATTTTCAAAGTATGTTTGCTTGATTTTATTGGTTTGTATTTTGTCACTTTATCAATACAACTTCTTTTATTATATATGTATTAGCATGTGGTTTGCCCGACACTTTTCAAACATGGTTCACTATCACTCAATTACATGTGTGGATGTTAATGGTAAGATTTCGTCCTGAAAAAGATGGAAAAATTTTCTCGCAACATTTAGTCGATGAATTTTTCGATGATACCGAAAAAAGGATTAGACGAGATTATAATGTAAGGACTAATCTAATGATAACAATGTCTTTGGTCAAACCAACATTTCCTTCTAGCTTACTCGATGTAATTCCCAACTTAGATTAAAAGTGGTAGATTTGTCACTAGATATATGAAAATATTTCGTGATCAATTTAAAGGTGGAATATTGGCGTATGATGAAGCAATTTTCAATAGTGATCCTGTTTTGGCAGCTGCGTTATGGAGGTAATTGTAAACTCTATTAATCGATTTGCTTTTGAGGGAGATCAAACCACATATTTCACCTCTTTTTTGTATTTCATTCAATAGAAATATATTTAATGCATCAGGATCCGCACAAAATACAGCTTTTCTAGTTGAATATGTGCGTTATTCTCTTCAAATGTTGGATAAATTAAATTGGACAGAGCTTAATTCTAAGAATCTGCAATTTTTACGGCCTGACAAAATACATCCATAAATGTCCAAATGATCTTATGGAATTATAAGGTTTATGAAAATAAATTTTTAACGTGAAAAACAAAGATCCATGCAATTTATATTTGAAAAATAAACAGAAAAAAAACAACCCATTAAGAGAATTATAAAACATTTTATTAAAAAAGCACAGCAGATAGGCTGGCAAAAATACTTGCAGAATCTGTACAATTATGATTATTAGTATTTACAATAGCCAAATAATAGAATTACTAGTAATGATATAATATAAAATAAACCAAATTAGATTTCAATTTTTTTTTCCTTTGACTTTGGATGATTTCGCAAGCTTAATATTTCTTCCAAGCTTATGCAAAATAGACGATGAAAGACCCTTCGTAGAACATGCAGCAGCATACGCTAATGGGATTTCCTTCTTCATAGTTGACGTCATTGCTTTATCCTTTAATTTTCCCATATCAGTTTCTTCGTCGTTTCCAAGCAAGAGAACTTTAGATGCCGGGACCCATTTCCTGATCAATAAAATATAAATTATTGAGATGGAAAGTGGTTAAGAATTCATGCATATTATATTATACATGAAAGAAAACAAAAATATGGCTGAAGTAAAGGAACAAATGATTTATATTTACCAAGTACGTCCATGACCGCCCTTCTTTCCATATTTTTCGTCAAAAAAATGAACGAGATATGTATCGCCTTCCTTTCGATCAGCCATAATTTCGGGTGTGATGTATGAGCTGCTCGGGTCTTCAACCTTGATTGAGTAATAACCACATAGAGGTCACTGTAAATAATTGAGTTTTAAATTCATGCGTTTAATATAAAAGCAAAAGATTGATAATAGTACCTCAGCTGGATACCAAGGGAAACCTTGCATTTTTGCCCAAACTAGACTCCCATGTGCGATTTCGGGATTCTCTTCACCATTAGCAACACTTTCCGTGGTAGGGACGGTCATATCGTTGTCAGTCCTGGGCGCATCTTGATCTTCCTCCAACTCTGTTTCTTCGGATCCTATTTGTCATATAAAACGGAATTAATCGTATAAAGAAAATCTGCAAAAAGTCAGACTTTAATTTATATACAATCAAAATAACAACTTACGAGGAACTATTGCCGTGGAAGACTCCCCCACGACCGAATTTTCACTCACGCTACGCGATCTTGTTCGAGTTGAAACATTTGTAGTAGTAATCTTAGTAGTTGTAGTAGCATTAGTAATAGTCAAGTCCATAACTTTTTTGGTATCTTCCTGGGTTTCTTCAGCATCATCAATTGGCTCCTCCTCATCTTCATCTTCACTTATATAAACCCAGCCCTTAGGAAGCTTTTTTTCTTCTTTTTCTTTTTCTTTTTCAGAGTCTATTGTCTGCTTTCGTTTTGGTATTTCCTCCGACTTTTCCTTGGCTACACTTGATCGCGTTCTACGTGGAGCAACTGTTTCCACATCCATTGGCACTATTATCTTATCATCGTCTGCTTCTGAATCAGATTTTACATCGGCTACTTCAGTGTCACGATTAGGTAACATCAAAGGTTCCATATTAAAAGTAAAAATTTCGGGATTTAATTCGATATCGAGCATTTTGGTTTCTGGATTGACTGGCAACTCAGCATATTCTTTTTCTGCTCTCGCAAGCATTTCTTGACATTGAGTTTGCATTCTTCGCGCAGTCCTAAAATAGGTCGTGTGATTTGTGTTATAGGTCATTGCATTACGAAAGATCAATTCTAGATCCTCCTGAAAAGAAAGATATATTGTGTTGAGTAATATATACGTGAATTATTCAAAGTGATTTGCCAGAATAGGCGCATTTTTAATTAAACAACCTTAAATGAAGCAATATCATCGTATACATAGGTATCGATTTTCTTACGTATTGTACTAAAGTCCATTGGATTTTTGATGTGTAAGTAATAATCGGGCACTTCTTCCGCCGACACTGGCTTAGCAAATAATTCTTGTTTATCTAATCTGTTCAAATAAATTGAAAAGACGTTATAATTTATCCCATAAAAACGTAAAAAAAACAATGCACAGCAGCAGTTTCTTTAGAAATTATCTTCACATACAATTGAATATCCTCTAAAGCTTCTCGAAGTATCCTTGTCAATGGATATAAAATTGTCTCGAGCATTGTTCTTATCATCCTATATCTTCTCAATTTTCCTTTTTCGCGTCTTTGTACAGAATCTGCTAACATTCGTACTTTTTCGATATCTTTACGTAAAACACGCATTATCTATTTATAGCCAAGAAATATAATGTTAAGTTTTGGTAGTTGTTACAAATAATACCAAAAGAACGATGAAAATACCTCAAATCTTATAGCTTTTTCAGCTTCAGTTTGTTTAAGCACAGATGCCGATGCGGTCCATGGCTGTATTGGATAAGGAAATTTTTATTAGTAAAACAAAAGCTAAAGATTATCTAAATATAATTTAGGAAAGTTCGCTTGCCTCAAGATGCAGTCTCTTTAACAAAGGAGCGCCACGACGGGATTCACGTTTTAACGACCAATATTTGCAGATAGTTGCAACTAATTCTCCTTTCTTTCGCAAAAAATTTTTTGACTTTTGAAGGACTGGTAATAATTTTTGCATTATAATTGCTGGAGCTATCGGTGCACTTGCAGAATACGAATGATTATATGCACGAGCGGCCTTATTATTTCCCTGCTCCAAATTTTGATCTGTTTTAATGTAATCCTCTTCAGCCTCTTGGCGATTTTGACTGCTTTCAGGAGAAGAATATTGCGCTCTTTTCCGTTTATTTACACCATTATTCACTTCGTAGAATTCATCTTCGTCTTCAATATCAATTTCTGATTCTTCTTTTTCATCTTCGGGAATGAACTCATCCGAGTCATCGGAATCATATTTGTATAATTTTCGCTTTTTTATTGCTGGTGCTTTTGCTACAAAAGCAGCTTGTGCAGCAGCGACTGTTGTCGAAACATCCACTGCATCTTTATACTCGCGCTAATGATTATAGGAAACATTAATAATAAGATCTATCAGAGATAATAATAGCATTATATTTAGTCTTACCGGTGTATGTTTGTCACAGTATGACTTTAATGAGTTATCATAATATGAACTGACAGACTTCATTTTCATGCATAATTTGGCTTTTCGTGCACAGGTAGGATGGAAGGCGGTAAAACAGTGTTTGTTTTCGCATTGAATACATGCACCCGTCTTTTGGCGACAAATATAACACATCTATAGAGAAATTCACAATTTTACTATTAATTAGAATTCAAATTAGGGGGATGTTGTGAAAAAAATTTACTGTTAACTCTAATTACCAATCGCCAACGGCTACGTGGAATTCGGTTAATATTGTCGATTGGTTCCATGTACACGGCATTAGATATTGTCACTTCAGGAATCCAAATACCACATAATAAGTGGGCCCAATGATTGGTAGTTGTTTGTTTAAAAGCTCCGCCTTCATTAGGGCAGAATATACACGACTAGAAGAACAAAGATATCGTTAATATGTTGGAAGAAAGACTTTTTTAATACATAATACATGACTGAATATCAAAAAAAAATCTTTTACTTACTACTGGATTTTCGGGAGATATCATACATTTTCTGCATAACCATTGTCCTTCGGGAATATATGGGATCCCATAACAATCTACGTGTAATAAAATCAATATAAGTATAATAGAGAGAGAGATGATATTTATTTGTATTAGTCTATTACCTTGATGAACTGCTAGATTACATCCATCACAAAATACAATTGCATTGCTATTCTCGCATTCGGCATCGTCACAAATGGCACAAGCCGAATCTTCTGGTTGTAAGCTATCCTTATCAGATTGCGCTTTAGGGATATTTTTCGTCTATAGCGGAAATATGATGGTTGATTTTAATAAATTCTCGTTAAGTATTGGTGCTTTTATACGTTTTATTAAATAACCTACTAAGTCAAACCACTCTTTTTCCAATCTATCCATTATCGCTTCGAATTCTTCTGGAGATACCTCACCAAGTTCCTCTTTTTTCCGCTCAATATTTAGCATATTAAGCCATATTAAATCTAAACACATAAGATAAGGTGAAATAATTAACAAGTTCTCAAATAATATGTAAAGATAAATTACCTTGCTCATCCATATCATACTCAACTCGATCGGCAAGTTCCATTTCAGTAGGTTCTATTTCATCAAGAATTTAGTTATGTTTCGCTCTTGACGAATTAATGAAATCATTAAAGGATGAAATATAAAACTTAATACAAACCTAAATATCTGAGATAATGTCCTTCAGGTCGATCAAAAGAATCTTGCCCTTGTTCAACAATGGTAACATCGACCCGACGAAAAGAAGGCACGGGAAGCTTTTTCTCAGTAGATTTTTTAATAGACACTGAATTTTCAACTTTATAATCGATCGATAATTTTTTTTCCGTAGACTTTAAAGTGACTTTATTTTTGTTTTCATCTGTATGACCATTAGCGAGACGCTTCTGTTCAATGATTTTCGTGGTGGTAGTGACAGTACTTTCAACGTGAACTTTTTTTTCGGTGGTTATAAGAGTGGATGAAGAGCTTTCCAAAAGATCATCACTATCCAATATTGGGACTTTTTTCTCAGTTGTTGTGATATTGGACGAAGCATTATTTTCAACGAGGGTAAGATTATCAATTAATTCATCCAACTTTATTGCTTTCACATCCGAATTATCTTCTTTTTCATCGATCTCCATTAAAATGTTTACTTGTTCAAAATTTTTTTTTGATGTTTCTGAATTATTTAGATTTTTTTCGCTTGTCAATATTTCGGATTCGTTATTAATAATTTTTGGTGATTTTTTAGTGATTAAGAGTTCACCAGTTTCCTTAGTTTCTTGAGGAGAGATAATTTCATTCGATTCTTGTAGCTTTGGTAGCTCTTTTGATTCTTGAGATGATGCAAGTTCATTGGATTCTTGTGGTTCTTTAGTAAACAAGACCTGATTAACTTGCTGTGTTTCGTTAGTCGACACGGGTTCACTGAATTCTTGTATTTCAATAAGTTTATTGGATTCTTGTTCCACTTGACAAACCAAAGATTCAGAATTGTTTTCTGTTACTGCAGATACAGATTGACTTTTTAATTCTAGAGGACTAACATCTATTAAGGGTAAATCATCGACGTTCATAGATTCTTTAGGGTCCAAATTACTTATATCATCTGGTAATTTATCTTCCTTCACTGACAAAGCATCTGTGTTCATAGATTCTCGTAGATCCAGGTCATTTTTTTGATCTGAAGCTTTATTGTCATCAACGGGCAAATCATCTATATGCATAGGTTCTGAGATGTCTAAGCCATTTACGTTATTTGTAGGTATATCTTCTTTTGCAGGCAAAACGTCCAAGTTTAGAGGCTCCTGAAGGTCCAGATCAGGAAAAAAATCTGTATAAGGACGTTCTTCACGCGGCTTCTCTTCATACTCTGGCGGAACTGCCTCTACGTCCAACCTAATCGGTGTTTCGTCTGAAATACGACCCGAAGACGACGTTTTGCCTGTCTCTTTACTCTTATTGTTATTGGATTTGTATGAACGACGATTATTTTTCGAGGAACGTGGCATCTTCAATTTATTACGGCCTCTGCCTCGCCCTTTTGGAGAAGGTGGCGATCTGGTAATGAGATGGGTAAGATCATTAACCACCACACCGTCTTTAGTACTCACAGAACTATTAGTAGTAGACTTTGAACCGGAGCTTTTAGCAGCCACCATTTTGGAAGGAAACTTGCCACCGACAAAAACTAGCTTTTATGATTCTTGTGGTAGAGTTTTTAGTCTTTTACCACCTTTGTAATATTGTGAAGTTTATCGGGGAAAGCAGAGACGAAGAATAGAGTAAAATTCGTTTTTTTTAACATGAATTATGAAACGAAAGTTTTGTCTAGACAACACTTTTGTGTGACTAAAAACGAGATATGATACGTCTCACTTAACAGATTTATTGGCCTATGATGAAGAATTTGCATGGCATGACAATATGGTTTTACCTAATATAAATTTTAATATCGATGTTTAATAAAGTTAACATTTAGCACCATCTTGTTGCTTTAAATTAATAGAAAATTGATAATTTATACTTTTTTGTTATAACTCTATTTTACAAAATATATAATAAATAATAAACAATTCGATACTAATGTTCACCATTCTTCTCCGACGTTCAGCAGTTTGAATTCACTGGACCCTAAAATAATTGGATCGTTCGAGTAATAGTTTTCCTCTTCGGGGTCATTAAATGTCTCTTCTTGTACAGGAATCGATGAGTCATCATGATGATTATTATCCGCGCTATTTTCGATTCGCGATATCTCTGCTGCTTTCTTTTTCTGATATTTCATAATTTGGTTTCTTTGTTCAATAATCTGTATAGTGAATGAACTAGAATCTTTGCGACATTCAAGTGGTCCACTTACAAACCAATCCGCGTGCATTAACACCAATTTATCAAGAATTCCCATTACACTTGTATTATTGGAGGAATCTGATAATTTTCCCCAGGTATAGAAATCAATTTCTTTTCGAATAATATCGATAGCTTCATGATGATTTTCGTTGAGTCCACGAAAAGTTCCCGAATGGATCGGTCCTCCCTCGACTGGATAATCAGTTGCAAAGTATACGTTTGTTATTCCATGTGTGTCTTTTAGATTCTGAAGATATTCTACAAGGTTTTTGGCACAAGTTGGAAGGTTGATATCATCAGCACCTTCCATGCGCCAATGTACTGCAACATACGGATGAATAGATGATGTCGCAGTCTGAACACGCTCAATAAGTTTTTCAGAATATGCAACTGGCAATGGTGTAGCATCGGTAAATGGAAACCTTAGAGTGTAATGAACGATCATAACTTCCGATTCATCATTTTTAAGATTCTCTTCAAAGAATTTCGATATCGCCTCGCGATTTCCTTTCGTTGACCAGTAATTACTGGTGCGTGTTTGAAGATTAAATGTAGGGGCTGACGATAATTTTTTTTTCTCGATAAAAGGTGATACACAAATTTGACGTCGTGCTTTTGGAGTAGTGAGATCAATGGTGGCGGAAGTGACATTGTTATTTATGCGATCATCACCTTTTTCAATAATGACGATCTTTGCGGTCGGAAGCAAAGATGTATTTTCTTCCTCCCGTAAATTTTTCCGTGCTTCTAACCACTTATAAAGTTCCGATTGTGTAATTAAGCTTGGCCGAGACAACAAATTTCGCAAAGACTTTACAGAATAATAATATTCAAATGGATAAGATTTACACGAGGAGATTCGTGAATCACCCACGTTGGGAAGTACAAGTGTACGATCCAATCGTTGGGCTAATCGTAACAAATTCCGAAAATGTTGCTGCGCTTTTGATTCCTGTTCGCCTATATATGCTGGGAATAAATATTTACATTTGACGAAACCACAGTATTTCATATTTATCTCTTTGATTTTTGTGTATGGATTTTTTGGAGTTAACTCTGTGTTAATAATTGGTTGATACTATACATCCAGAGAAGGAGGTTAAATATGTATGCTTTCGTATTCAAGTAACTAGCATATAACAATAACACTTACATTCTCGTCAACATCCAGTCTAGGTTGCTGCAGCTCTATTATACTTTTATGGTATAATAGTAAATTCCATAAAAGTAAGCAAAAAAATATAACTAACAATCTTATCCTCCATTTTCTATTAAATTCAAACATTCTTCTCGAATTCAAATAGGTTTGAAGGTGTTTAAGCTGAAGTTAATGATTGAGTGTTCCAGCACTCGGTTGCAGGATATGGAAGCGAGAGTGAATACAAAGAAAAGATGTTCGATTTGTCGTATTGTAAATATATGTTTGAATTCGATGATTTGCGTTTCCGCGTTTCACAACATAATTCAAGTATTCTCGATTTTCCGATCTGTGTTTAGAATTTTGCGAACTCGGGTTCGTTTGATTCGTCTAATCAAGGCGAACATTCTTTGTATTCGGACCACAAAAATTGGTTCTTTGTGCTGGTTTCGTCGCGACCGGATCCAGTGGGTTCTTTGGCGAGTATTTGATGATATTTCAGATGAAATGGGAGTCTTTGGGTGGAAGTGGTCTTGAAAACAATG